ACTCTTTGTAAAGCACTTCCAAGGAAGAAGAAAATCTTTCCATGTGGTATTGTTATACCAGAGTGAAGACAAGCTAAGCTGAAGGCAACCAGTCTTGCTTGATTGTGGCATGTAGACAGGCCTGGATCTAGCTAGTACCTGGATGGGAAGCTTCCTGAGAAGTTTTGGCCATTTGCACAAGCCACAGATTTCTGATCAGTTAAATGGAAAACAGCTAAATGCCAAATAGTTACTAGGACATTGGACTGTATTTGTCACAGATCAACCCTTCCAGCTGCAGCAGAGAGGTAGTGAGTTAGAAAAGGGCTGGATAAAATAAGAAATAGATCCAGACATTTGTCCCAAAGGAGCAAGGGCATAGAAACTGTGGAGAGGCCATTCTGGCCCCATCATCATTGCTGAGCTGATGGAAGGGAATAAAAAGAAATAGATCATAGTGCATGAACAAGGCACCACTGTTTTGTTGCTTATTGTAAATGAAAGCTGGGACATTTTGCTCTGAAGCTGGAATAAACCACAACCAAGCAGATAATTTCAGAGCCTGCACACTGAGTAGAGAAATTACGCAAGCCAGTTGAAATCTGAAATCTAGACATTCCATCTGCTGCTATCGTGTCCCCCAAACAGCAGACAGAAAAGTACACATTGCATATGCCTCCCCTAAACATGCGCAAAAAAAAATTGCTTGAAAGCACAAACACAGGCAGAAGCTTTAGTAGATTTGTGAAGTCTTGCATGCAGAAAACTCTGCAATGTGGTGAACTGCAGACTCTCCTGCAAATCTTTCAACACCATCTCTGCAGGACATTGTACCCTTTCAAGCCTAAACCTCTTTAGACTTTGCTTTTTAATTTTTTTTAGTCCAAGAACTGTCTGTACATCTTCCATAAAATGCAGGAGGACCCCAAACCACTGTGAAGTGTTTCTGGGTAGAGACATTAACACTGGACCTGGGTAGAACACTGTGTGCATCTTTGCATGTCTTCCTTTATGGACCTTCCTCTGTCCTTTGAGAGGAATGTGGGAGCAATGGAGCATCTAGGTATCACTAACGGAGTATAACTAGAGTAGTTGGAGAGTTCCTTCCTTTTAAAAATGTTACTTTTTGTACAGCCTAGTGGGTCCTTGGGGCTGTGTTTATAATAGGTTAACCCTGCCAGCTGCAGTGAGCATTTTCTAGTGAGAACTAGGGATGTTGTGGATTAAATAAGAAATGCTCCAAACTTTTGCTGCAACCCACAAACAGACTTAAAAACTTTCCCTAAGTCTGCAAAATTTAAAGTCACTGGCATCTACAAACTATTTTTAAGGCTGAATATGAATCAAGGAACCAAGAAAAATCATCGACAACAGGATGAATATAATGGAAAATTGTATCAGTTTATTTTGGATTTATCATATTCAGAATTTAACATGGAGTTATAGATTACATCCCTAAAAACATATTGGGCTACCTAATCTATGGTAAAGTAATTTCTGTATAGACAGTGTAAAATTTGGACAACACAAAAGCTGACGAGAGTTTTTAAGATACCCTTAACAGAGCTAGAGTTACACTCTGATTTTTCAGAACGAAATATAGGATTGTTGCCTTTTTACCACATTCTATCAATTCCATCACTGTTAAAGTCTCTATAAAATGTCAGAGGATGCTGACCTTCCAATCAGGTATCCGAAGGTTCATGTAACATTTTGCAGATGGGATAGTCCTATATAAGATTTTGCAGCTTGACTATACACACACACACAAACAGGCAGGAACACAAAATGTAAAATTTTCCCATTAATTTAGACTGTTTCCCTAGAGAAATGTACTGAGGATACATTCATTTCTAGTTCCTGTGAGATTAAGCAAATGTAAATAATGCCAGTTTTTATTGAAAAGGATTGCACGCTTTGTCTTGCTCCTAGTCCAATATGGGGATTAACAAACAAAATAATAAAACCAGCAAAACTAATAAGGGATATTCAGCATTTCTATTTTGTTGGGTTGAGTGTAATTTGTAGCAAGCAATATTTTGAATTCTTCCCCAAACCTAGATGGTCTGATGGTCTAAATTCTTGCTCACATACACTAAATGCTAACACACCTGCTTTCAATTCAGCTGAGAATCAAGGCACAGGAAGAGTTAAAGACCAACAGAATTCAGACTCCAGAACTACAGGAAATAATGCTGAGCAGAATCTGGTTGAGGGTGAGAGTACATTTTGGACTCCCGTCACCTTTAGGTTCTGGAAGAACATACTGGAAAAGTCAAAGACTTGTGGTTTAACAAAATGTAGGTATTTGCCCCTATATAAAACACAATCTCACTTCCTCAAGAATACTGCTCACCATTTCCAGTCAAAACCTCCTTGCAAACTACGCTTTCAGAGAACTGCATTTTTTCTTTAATACCTTCACCTGGCATCAAAATTCCCTGTAAGCTAGAAGATAATGCTGTATTCAGAATATAGGACTGAAGGCTTGTGCTATGCAGAACTGCTTTGTTTTCCAAGCCCCCCTCTTCCCTCACCTCCCATTCCAATACATGGACAGGGTATAATAAGCTACAACTTAAGTTTCTTTGTTGTTGAAGTTGACCTTTATCTTGCAGTCCTAATGAAGTCTTTTGATGTGCTCCTAAGATACACGGCCTCCTTTTTAACATTCTGTTTGCTGTGCCTGCTTTAACCAGTGGGCTTGCAAAGAACGTAAGTTTTCTTACAGTGTCTCCCTTGGGTGCCAATTGTTCTTTTCTCCCATAGTTGCCCTTGAGTCATGCCATCCAGAAACATCACCAGCCCAGAAGCAACTTGTCAGTGGGGAATTGGGACAATGTGTCTTTCACATCAACGATGAGTGTACCCACTTGGCCCCTGCATTATGATCACCACCGATAGGAGCAATATGGGAGCAGAGTGGGTGAGAAAATATGAGGTTTGTGTGTGTTGGGGAGATAATTAGCTAAAATACAATGGGAAGGGAACCACTGGTGTGACAGATAATGTGGAATCAAACTGCTAGCAGAGCCCTTTACAGTTCAAACAACCCCTCCTGAAAGCAGCTGCTCTTAGCAAAAGAGTTTGAAAACCCTTCCCAGAAAGCCAGGCATGTGTTCGCTATTAGTGATTTGCATTTTTTTTTAAAAAAAAAAAAAAAAAAAAAAAAAAAGTGATTGGGAGCTACATACCCTGTAGGCGCACTAAGCAAATTGGCCAGCCTAATTATTATTTTTTAGTATGTCTAATTAAATAGACAAAAGGCCCTCCCTTCACTCTTGCTGTTGGCACGAGCTCCACTGGAATGTGCATAATGTCCCCTCATTTGCCCAGGCAGCTGAGCCTTTCCTTTTTCCCCTAGGAAATTGCTGTTGACAACTGCCTATGGCTTACCCACTCCTATTCAGACAAGAGCCAGATCATCAGACAGGAAGGGGAAGGGGGTAAATTGACCTGGTTCTGTTAAAAACCACCAGACAATGATGTATGATGTGACATGCCTTTGTTGCAGGTTAGAAACGTGCCGTGGCCCCTGATAGCAGAACTTGCTATTGCAGAGCCCATCAAATACTTACTGCCCAGTGTTGGCCAAATTCCCTTGAATTTACTTTACAGGGACTCTAAAAGTGTAATATTTATCCCTGAGCTTTCTGGCATTTTTCCAGCACTCAGCTCTTCTCCTGCTCTGCAATTACATGGCACCACAGCCCTTCCTTAAAGAGCCCCTGATGACCTGCTGGTTTCACCACTCCATAACACCAGCCCTTTAACTACAAACTATGTATAAAGTCTTCCAATGACTTGAGTCACTGGAGAGTTTCAGGCTCACACTGATGCAGTCAGAGCCTCTGGAATCCAAAGCTTTCAACTGACAAAAGGAACACAATTTCAGTTCCTTTTGTCTACAAGGCATTTCACTCCTTTTAAAAGTTGTTGCTGGAGATTTCCACTAATGCCAGCACAAAGATAGTCATCCCATAAATGAGTAAGAGTTTACATCTCTGGTGGAAATTAAAGAGTTTTCACACATCTAAGAGACATGTAATTACTAAATGACAAAATCTAGTCCCACATTTATATGATATATAAGCACTAGTGTATTTACTTAATATATGGGCAAAAAGCTCTCTATTTTTTCCCAAAGAGCTAGGGATAGAGAGGAAGGAAGCACCATGTCTTTATATATATATGAGTGTATATATATATATATAAATGTGCAGATACAAGAAAAAGAAGCAGACTAACAATTTATCCAGCATAACGGACCATCTCACACTTTCTCAGTGAGCTCTGTGTTTGATCTGACCAACAGGCCCCTATTAGAAGAGTACAGTGAAGTATCACCACATCAGTTCTGGTAGAAAACCTTTTACAGGAAACACCTTATCACTGGTGATCTATTGAACAGGCACTTAGCAAAGCCTTCCAAATCCACTGTGCAAGATGGAAAAGCAAAAGACCAGCTCCTGATTTCAGCTACACCACTGCAAATCCTGAATAACTCCCTGGGACTGAGACAAGCCTTCAGCTTCCACAACAGGTTTATCCAGATAAGCTGATATAGGTGCAGAAAGCTCTGCTAACCCAGAATTTGCTACTTCCAAAAGTAGAGTCGCTTCAGTCCAAGCAGAACAACATGGTCAGAGAAACCATAAAATGTCTGCTTTATCTTAACCAAATTAAACACCTCTGTAGCTCAGCCCAGCGTAGGTCTGAAAAACCTACATTGCCATCACTGGTTAAACTTTGTTAAGTCAGTGCCTGATGCTTCACTTCTTAACGAGGCAGTTATTTGTTTCCCAGGCAATCACTGGCACCTGCCTGCCTTTTAAAATCAAATAATAATTGAATATGAGGAAAGCGAGAAGAAGTAAAGGAGATTTAATAAGAGAATCTTTGCTGCAGAGGGAATTTCTTTGGCAGTGATTACGTTACTAATTGATCAGCACATTGCCTGAGAGAAGCCAGAGACAACAATTATACTTAGCACTGTGGCTGAAAGCAATGCAGTCAACTACCTCCTCGGCTTTCGCTGTCCGCTGGTTTCACCTGGATTGGCCTGTTCATCTGCAAGAAAGAGCAAAGAGAGACACATAATTAATCACAGAATCAAACATTCATATACAGAGGTTTTCTATGAATTTTTACCATGCATCATAGTTAACACCAGAACTTACTCCATGAGGGGGAAAAAAAGCAATTAGTAAACAAAGAAGTAACCACAGAGTAGAGGATGTTTCTTGTTCCAAGGTAAATCAGTGTCACCCCATTTACCTGACAAGGGCTCTGTTCAATCACATTGGGAGAGGGATCTGGTTCATTTCACACATCATGAAAACTTAAACATAACTTTTAAAATTTCTAATAGTTTTCTCCAGAAACACTGCTGTGTCAAAACAGAAATGCTTTGTCAGAACACTAGGATCAGTGAAACTCTAATTGCAAACATTTCTTGAGATTGACATGGTGAAAAGAAAACGAAAAAGTGAATTCCACCTCCACTGCTAGCTCAGTAGGATAGTCACATATAACATAGCAACCTCCATTTCATACTTGGGAAATGGGATTTGGATCTGGTTTGTCCACATGCAGCAGGAGTGCTACTTATTGAGATTTATTTTTGCAGGTTGGCGAGGATAGGATATGAGTCAATAAATCTCCCTCTGTAATTTTTTCAAACATCTTTTTCCTTTCTCACATTAGAAAATAAGCAAGTATAAAAATCTTGCCATCGTGCTGTGATTAGGATTTTTGTTCCTCAACTTTCTCCTTCTCTCTCAAAAAAAGCACTGGGGACCATCATTATCCCAAAGCTGTTCAATCCCAGCAGAGAGTTCGACAGATGTCCACAGTCATCTTCACTGGTCCTGCCTAACAGAATGTGGGTGTCTGATGAACAGAGGTGAGGATATACTTCTCCTGTTAATAGCTGGAAATGCAGATTGGATCAGAAACAAGTGAGATTTTAATCTGAAAGCCATTCCCTTCTTTTCTCCATGTTATTTAAAGCAATCCGTACACTATGCAGATGGACTATTCAAAATATTTTTCTGTGTGTGACCACCCCTGAGTGGAATTAAATTATCCTTTAAATTTGGCAGTTAAAGAAATTGCAAGCTCAAACAGACATCACAAGGAGAAGGAAGTCAGAAAGCAATGAGAATCTCCAAACATTGCTTCCCAATGAAGTCAGACCACAAACTGGTTGATGAGTGTCACAAGCTGCCTTCAGGTGGTATTGTCCCTCCCTTATTTGTGGATAATCACAGTTGGGCACCAAGGCTGTTAGTTTTCTTTTTTTCCCAATTTCCTTTTTATTTTTTTTTTTTTTAAGTAGTTCATAATCATTTAGATTTATTCTAATTGCTCTGCACACATATTTAGTAATAAAAAGTTATCAAGCTGGCTGACAAGTAGGTTAAGATGATGGAGAGCCTAGCATATCCTGCTGCATTGTTGTCTCAAGAGGGAAATGTACTTAGCCATAAACCGACTACACTTAGACTCACACTCGGGAAGAGAAGGATCAATGGCTCCAGATGCTACAGAGAAATTTCTGCCCTCTTGTATGCTTGTATCATCCAACAGACTCCAGACAGTTGCAGTGTTAAAACCAACAAAGAATCTGGTACTGGACAAACCTTTTATCAGCCCCTGCTTCTGTAATTGTAAAGACCTGTCTCTCACACATGTATCGTAAGATATTAGCAGAGCCAGAGGTGATATATTGAGCAGTCACAGGATGGACATCCTGCCACAGGGCTCTTGTAACCACATGTGAGCAGCTAGCTGTTATGGACATTTAAATATCTGACCATACAGGTGAAGGGAGTAATTTGTGTCATGTAACTCCAAATGTCTGAAAAGTGTAATTTTAAGACACTCTTAAGACTGGTGTCTGAGCTGAAAAGCATGAATGGTCTTCTGCAGTGCCTGTTCCTCTCCACTGATCATAACGGTAGTCTATGCAGTTAGAGTTAGATGAGGTGAACACCATCTGTATTCTCATGTTCAGGATAATGAAGCCAGCCTACCCAGTTACTGTGTTTTAACTTCCCCCAGCTGCTCGAACACTGCAATTGATTTATGTTTACAGCAGGTTGATGTTGACACCATCCATGTACCAAGGTCTGACTTGAGAGCTGTTAACTTTTGACAGCTGTACTCATGCTGTATATTATGGGTTCCTAATGTGGATACAACGGTTAATCTAATTCCAGTGGTCCGAGGAGGGTGGTCATAGGTCCCTGGTTCTCACTCCAAGACAGCCAGAACCTGCATCATAAGCAGTGAGTATGAGAAATAGTAACAGTAGTCAGGAATTTATAGGTGGTGTGCTGCATACAGCCCTGAGAGGCAACGTCTGGAGTCCAAAATGGACACAGCCTTGCAATGCAAAACACTCCATAAATCTACTAACATAGGTCCTGAACTGAAGCCTGATAAAAGCCATGAAAATCCCCACTGAGCTTGAGTAAACTTTGGATCCAGCCTTTAGAAAAACTAGACAGAGCTCTTCCTACTTGTTGTTGAGTGGGATGTGGTCAGTCTACAAAAAGCAGAGGTCATCAGATGCTTTAGCAAAAATGGGAGGAGGCTAATATCTTCTTGGGCAGGTTTTTTTTGGAGATTGGCACATAAGAAAAATAAGACAAACCACAAGAAAAGGAAAAAAAAGAGGGAGGGAATCAGCATCCAACAGAGGAAGAAAAAACTGGGGAAATTAATAAGTAAAAGGCTAGTGTAATTTAATGTACACTATGATTTAGATACTTGACAATTTCTTTATAGACCAAAGAGAAAGTGCTGCTTGCACGGAGCCCATAATACAAATTGAGATCATCTTGACATGAAAGACACCAATTATAGGCAGAAACACTGAGAGGAAAATAATTAAGTTTCCTCTCCATCTATGGAATTTTTTTTTTTTTTTTTCACAGACACTCTGCGAGCAAGGAGCTGGCATGGGGACCACAAAAGGGATAAGAGGGGAAATAAAAAGCCAGGAAGATGTACTTTCCCCAGTCTGGGGAAATACCCTGGGGAGAAGGGAATTCAAAAGTTCAAGCTCTCTGCTTATTCTTCATCTGGAAATTGTCATGAGTTTAATACAAAGAAACCAATGTTTATATTCCTAAACTGCAGTCTTCTGAATAGTGGTTGGCGGACTATTGACGTGGACATCTTTGATATCTGTCCTGTCTTAGCGGACCTTGGGTGTGTGATAGGAGAAAGATTTGGCAGTCAGCAAATCTAATTAATACCATGGGTATCCACATGGGATCATAGGAACTACAGATGTGGATGTGAGGTTTTATTGATCCCTAGCACTAGAAGTCTTCAAAAGAGATTTAGCAACATCGGAAAAGACCTAGGTAGGCTGATCCAACATTTGAACTGACAGATGGACTGGATGAACTCTGCTAGGTTCTCCTCTATGATGTGCTACGCTTCTGGACTGGATGAACTCTGCTAGGCTCTCCTCTAGAATGTGCTACATTTCTGTCCATTGCAATGATCCCTCTTTACTCTGCCCATGGATGCTCTTTGTGCTATCCTTTGAAATATGATCATATTTCCTTATTCTATATTATCCCTCTTGGGATGTCACTGTGAAAGAAGTATATATTTTTTACCAAGTATATATTTTTACCATTTGTTAACCCAGAAAAAGTTAATCTACTCTTTAGCCTCAGTCCTATTCTTTAGCATCTGACTAAAAATTTCTATTCTTTGTATAAACTGTGAAGATTCCTGACAATATGGTATGAGAATACCTGATAGTCATAAAAGCAATATAAATCAGGACAATATGTTTCTCATTCATGATTCAGAAACCAATTTGGCCACAAATCTTCTTTGAAGTGCCTCACTCAATGGAAATGTCATAACAGAGGTGTGCTGAGGACCAGTGAGGTACAAAGAGATGTAGGCAAGAGCCAAAAAATTTAGTTTGGGTTTCTGGTTATTATGACATACCAAATTTTCAAAGATGTGGCAATCAGCTGGCAAACCAGAATCTTATTCACAACTGTGCTCCCAGGGCAGCTTCAGTTGAAGCCTGTGTCTCAGATTCCCTGTCTGTATTGGGAACTATGGGCACTTGGTACCACTACAGCTGTCAATTGACCCCGTATCAGTAAGAAAGGTTGTATATTCTATTCCCACAAATGCCATAAGCACTTGGGTTGATGGAGAAGTTTGAACTTCAGGAGCATAGCACTTCTCATTTTCCTTTGATCCTTTGCACATTCATCTCTCTTGAAAACCACTTTTACTATCACATTTTCACATCTTGGACGAGATGATCATACTTGTTACACTTCATACTCTTAATTTTGGCTTTGCCTTCCTTTTGCCTAAAACCAACCCATTTAAGTAATGCCAGATGTCATCCTCTCATACCAACTTGCCACTTGCCCCACCTACCCCACCTCAATCCTCTCTGCAAGTAGAAACACGACATCATTTTTCATGTCCAATTACAGCCACCGTGGTGCCACTGTTAAAAGACAGCGCAGGTACTCCTGTCAAAAAGGGTTTGAGTTACAAGAAACGATGAATTACAGCAAGCCCTTTTTCAATTCTCTACAGAAATGAAATGTCAGAGCTTGCTGCTGTATTTTTCTCAGCACCATCAGCTACAGGCCACTGCAGGAATTAGACAGGGGACAGACGCTTTTCTGCATCATGATTTTTCTTTTCCTAAGGTTGTCATTTTCTCCCCCACCAACCTTTTTCCGCTCCCCCTGGCTTTGATATTAATTTAGAGAAGGTAGAAGGATCACTTGGGATTAAAGAGTAGGAAGCAGAGACAGCTGATTTCTCACTGTCTCCATCTTTCTTCATCTCACTGTTCCTACTACCCTTTCTTTTCTTGTCTCGCACACTTTTTCATTAGTCATTAATATGTCTGGTGTTTCTAGCCAGGACTAAAGCTCTACCAGGATTGAGAATGGACAAATGTAAAGATAAAAAGTAAAAGAAAGGTGAAAAAAAAAAAAAAAAAAAAAATGATGGAGGTACCCTGAATAACTTCAAATGTGATCTGGAACATGAAATTGAGA